GTGAAAGCCCAGAATCCCCAGTAATCACAAGAAGGTAGGAATGGCTGCATGTGGGGCTCCTGCTTATGAAGCTTTTCAGCTGCTGCCATGAGCGTTTCATTCATGTCTACTGCCGTCTTTGAAACACTGCACACTGGATCTGCACAGCTTTTGTGCTTGCTGGATTTCCACAGGTTTGCCAGGCCCGCCTTGCGATTCGAGTACTAGAGTGAGTTTTCAAGCTGACCTTCCTCTGTAACTCCTTCACTTTTTCTTTTTAGCTTATTCTTTGACATTGTTTTTGAAGGTTTTTGTTTTGTTTTTCGAGACAGGGTTTCTCTGTGTAGACCAAGCTTGGCTTCAAACCCACAAAGATCCGCCTGCCTCTGTCTTCTGAGTTCTGGGATTAAAGGTGTGTGCTACCACTGTCCGGTTTTGTTGTTGTTGTTGTTATTATTATTATTATTATTTTAAGAGAAAGATTTTTAAAAGATTTAGTTGGGTGTAATAGTGAAAACTTTAATCCCAGCACACCCAGAAGCAGAGTCAGGCAGATCTCTGATTTTAGGACCAGCCTGGTCTACATCATGAATTCCAGCCCAGAGCCTGTCTCAAAAATAAATAAGTCTATGACTTTTTATTTTGTTACTTTTCTATTGGTGTAAAGAAACACCATGACAAAGGCAACTTTTAAAGAATAGCATTTAATTCTGGCCTTGCTTACAGTTTCCGCTGGTGAATATATAACCATCCTGGCAGGGAGCACTGTGGTAGGCAGGAGGCATTACAGTGGAATAGTAGCTGAAAGCTTACATATTCAGACTACTACGAGGCAGAAAGACTAAGCCTGGCATGGGATTTTGAAACCTCAAAGCCCACCTCCAAGTGAGACACCTCCTCCAACAAGGCCACACCTCCTGATCTTTCCCAAACAGTTCCACCAACTAAGGAACCAAATACTCAAATGAGCCTACAGTGGCCATTTTCATTCAAATCACATTCCACTCCCTAGCCCCCAAAAACTTGTAGCCATCTCATAATGCAAAATCCACTTTTAAAAAATCCCCAGATTCTTATAGTCTCAAGGCTATCTCTTAACTGCAACTCCCTTGCAAAATCACGAATCACATTAATTACTTCCACCATACAACACAGAATATACATTACCATTCCAAAGGGGAGGAAAGGGGGCATAGTGGGGAAATATTAGTCAAAGCAAGACTGAAACCTGGCGGGGCAAACTCAAATGCCATAGCTTTCTGTCCTGTGACCAAGGGCGTGATAGATCACACCTCTCTGGAGCTGGTTCCACTCGGTTCAGGTCTCAACAGGTATTCTATGGCTCTGGAATCTCCAAAACCTTGGGGTCTCTAACATAATCCAGGATTCACACAGTTTCACACAGTGTCCTCTTTGGGCCTCCATGGCTTTCTTTAACCACAAAGGAAGGTTCCACAACCCTTTAACTCCTGCATCCTCTTGACTCTAAATCCAGGACCACATGGTTGGTGCTGCCAAATTCTGTTTGACTGGGCTGGGGACCCTGACCCCTTCCTTGGATTACATTTACAAAAGCTTTGATTTGTTGATACTTTATTTTGTTGAATACGCTTTCTTTTGCTACACAGAAGATTCCTTAGGTATTTTCTGTTTACAAGCTGGAAGTCTGGTTGGGTGGAGGCTTGCCTCAAGGGCATCACTCCCTTTACTCCATTTCACATTGGGCCTCTCTTTGAGCACAAGATTTGACTCCAACATAAAATTTCCTGGCGCTCTTTTTCTTCCTAGTTTGTATTTCTTTTTGTTCCACTTGCACTTTTTCATTGTAGATCTGCATAAGAGTGATCACAAAAACTTTGTCTTAATTACTGTTCTATTGCTGTAAGGAGACACCATGACCAATGCATCCAAAAGAAAGCATTTAAGGGGGAGTTTGCTTACAGTTTCAGAGGGTGAGTCTAGGAGCACCATAATGGGAAGTATGGCAGCAGGCAGGCAGGCACGGCACTGGAGCACAAGTGAGAGTTTGCATCTGATCCACAAGTAGGAAGCAGAGGGCTCTGCAAGACCTCCTAATTCTTCCCAAGAGCGGTCTATCAACTAGGAACCAAACATTCAAATATGAGTCTATAAGGGTCATTCTCATTCAAACCTCATGCTTGTATGTATGTATGTGCACCAGATACATACTTGGTGCCTATGAAGGTTAAGAGGGATGAAGGGTGGGGATGAACTGAAGTTACATGTGATTGGGGACTACCAGGTGGGGGCTGGGAACTGGATCCAGGTCCTCTGCATGATTAACACTGAGCACTCTCTCCAGCCTCACCCTCTGACACCCTTATACATGTATAATATATTTTGGGCATTTTCACACACTCATTACTTTCATCTCTCTCCCAGTCCCACTGAACTTCTTTCCTCCTTCTGTTTTCTTTTAGTGACCCACTGGATTTTAAGTGTTCTATTTCTGTGTATATGCTAGTGCACGTGAATGCCCCCAGAACTACTAAAATGGAGTAGCTTTCATGAGCACAGAGGGGGTTAATTACTGAAGCACGGCAAATTACAGGTGGGTAACTACTGAGGAAAATAACTTTTCCTCTCCTAGCAACCACTAACTCAGTAGTTCCTTAGGGTTTTTATTCATTGACTCCGTTATTGGCTCCTACAAATGTTAGTCGTATGAACAGACTACATTGGCAGCCATCGCAGTGTATAGGAGCTATGCTGAGACTGCTCCTGTCAAGCTAAGCCCCAGAACTCAAACTGTCATGTTGCTCAAGCAGACCATCTCTATGAGGAATCCCACTCCAGTGTGCTTTCCTGAACTCAATGGACTTGTCCTTTGTCAAAGCTGAGGAGTGGATTTCTCTACTACAGACCTCATGGCAGGGACTAGACAAAATAGTCAAGAGTACACATACCCTGTAATGCCTCGGGCTCTGGCCTTCACCAAACCACTGTATTATATCAAATATTAGCCAATATAGATTAGAATGCTTACTGCTCTTGCAGAAGACCTTGGTTCCACCCCTAGCACCCACATCCGGCAGCTCACAGCTACCTAGAATACCAGCTGTAGGGTATCTTATGTGCTCTTCTGGCCTCTTTGGGGACCTGCATGTATGTGATGACCATAAATTTATGCAGGTATACACACACATATGACATATAACAAATAATCTTTTTAAATAAATTAGCAAAAATAATTGAACAATCACTTCTCAAAACGTGGTCAATAAATACATGAAAATATGTTCAAAATTCTTGGCTATCAGAAAAAAAGACTTCACTAAGATTCCATATGCTCCCTTTCAGAATGGTTTGTCCAAGAAAACAAAACAAGACCTGGTGTGGGTGAGGTGAACCAGAACCCTTGTACATTGTTGATGAGAATGGAAATCAGTATGGGGGCTGCCCAAACAACTGAAAGCAGAACTATGGTTGATTGAGCTGTATCATTTCACTCCTGAGTATACACCAAAGGAGGGAAGTTTGCATACCCATGTTAACAGTACTCAGAGTAGCCAACTTAAAAAGTGAGCTTAGGTGTTCATTAATAAGTAGACTGAGGGGGCAGTGGTGGTGCACTCCTTTAATCCCAGCACTCAGAAGGCAGAGGCAGGTGGATCTCTGAGTTAGAGGCCAGCCTGGTCTGACAAAAGTGAGTTCCAAGATTGCCAGGGCTAGTCAGATATACTCTGTCTCAAAAAAAAAAAGTAAAAAGTCTACATTATCTCACACTTGGAATCTAAAAAATAAATTGAAGTCACAGAAGTAAATGACAACAGTGGCTAAGATTTAGGAGAAATAAAGAGATAACCATTTCCGAGAGCACACTTTCTGTCAGCAGTGTCAAGACAGCACAGTCACCTCTGTGACAACAGGGAACAATAATGTACTGTCCACGGAACACTGTCCAACGTTAGGTGTTGGTAAGGTGGGCGGTTTTAGTTCCTGACAAATGAACACTCTGTGAAGCCTAAGATGGATTTTCCTGGTTACACTCCAAGAGAGAAGTCCCTGCCACATCAATTACCATCCTCTGAGAGACATATAAGCATCTATCTCCAGGGCCTATGGAACTCTGTGTTCTCTAATTTGCTAAGACATTAGATGTCTTCATATCAAATATAAAAGATAATGTTGTGGGCTAGCCAAGTTGTCTCAGCAGGCAAAGGAAGTGCTTACCTCCAAGCCCAAACACCTGAGGAGTTCAATTCCCAGGATCCACAAGGTGACAGAGAAAACCAGTTCCTGAGTTGTCCTCTCATCTTCACACACGATGTTGTCCACCCCCATCCCAAATAAATAAATGTAATATAAAAGAACTATGTCAGGTGAGTAATATATTCATTAATTTGTATCTACAGTCAGTAAATAAAATTAGTGCCAGTTCTAACTATATTAGTATAATGCAGTATTGTATCTTTGAGCCAGAATTGCAGCTGGAGGTGTCTGGACTATACAATGAGACCGTCCCTCAAAAACTAAAGAAACTCAATCCTGCCCAAGAATTATTTTAAAAGTAAAGCTTGTGAAATCTCTCACAAAATACCCTGTGAAATTAAACACAAAGTATTCTCTGGCCCTTAGAATGTTATGTATAGATTTATTAGATCCACTTGGTCTCAAGTCTACTCCCTTGGTGATTTTAAGACTCACTGTTATCAATTCAGCACTGAGGAGCACTAAAGCCGCCTTCCACTCTCATCATAGTGCTATTTATTCCTCTCTACCTGGACACTAATATTTGCTCTCCGTACTTAGTGTTCTGTTTCAGGGATCACACCTTTACAACCATGACACCCTTACCTCTTTTTCGGTCTATTTATGCCCTAACAATAACGAGTCACTTACTGGAAGCGCAGATGATTTTCTAAACATCATCAGCAGGCACAGTGGGCCACTACTGAAGCCACTTGGGAGGCTAATGCAGGAGGATCATTAATTTGAGGTCAGTTTGCGATACACAGTGAATTCTAATCCAAACCTGAATTACACAACAAGACCCTGTCTCAAAAACAAATAATGAAAAATTATTTATTAAGACAATTTCAATATCCTGGTCACTTCACAAAGTAACTTTTAAAAGGACTGCACAAATCGTGATCAAGAATGAGTTTATCAGTGGGATGCAAAGATGGTTTATACAAAAGAAATAAATGTAATACACTGAATGAACAAAATGAAAAACTGTATTGCAGAAAATATACAGAATCATGTAACAACATAGGATATCAACTGATGGTGACAACAGTCAATAAATTAGACAGAAACTATAATGGCAGCACGGGGAAACAAACACTGTTATCATTCAGTGTGACAAAGCTCAGACTTGTCCAGGACAGGCGCACCTTTCCATCAATTCAGCAAACACCCGAAAAGCCTAGCTGGAGCAATTAGGGTAAGAAAAAAGAAAAAATTTTTTCACCCAAGGAAACAAATCTGTTTCAGGTGACAGGGTGTCAACATAGAAAATTACTCTGTGAAAAAAAATTTAAGAAACTCATAAATGTTCAATGATTTTCAAATCAACACAAAGTGTCTTTACATACTACAAATTTAAAAGCAAAATTTAAAAAACAAAAATATTATACACCCTGCATAAAATGAGAATAAAATTAAACAGGGAAAATCTAAACCACTATGAACAAGACTATAAATAAATGGCAGGGTATCCCATGCACACTGTTAAAATGTCCATCCTACCCAAAGTGCTTTGTAGATTTACTGCCATCACATTAGCAAATCAAATGGCATTCTTCACAGGCTTAGGAAAAAATTCCCAAGTCATAATAAACCAAAACCTTTCAAATTAGCCCAAAAACTCAAATAAAAACAAAAGTTTTAGGTTTAACAGTGTGTCACAGGCTAGAGATGAAGCTCAGTTGGTAGAGTATTCACCTAGCATGCACTTGATACCCAAGCACTGCGCCAAAACCAAAACAAAAATGGTGAGTGTAGTGGTGCATGCCTGGAATCCTACCACTGGAGGCAGAGGCAAGAGATCAAAAGTCCAAGATCATTCTTGACCATTTAGTTATTTCAGAGCCAGTCTAAGCTCCAGGAGACCTTTTCTCAAGGAATAATTACAAAAGAAAAATACATTACATAGGCAGTAATCCAACAGTACAATATAGATATAGACAACGTAACAAAATGGCTTAGATATAAACTTATCATTGCTAGGCATAGTGGCACATAATTTTAATCCCAGCACTCTGGAAGGTAGAAAGACTGGTGGATCTCTGTGAGTTTGAGGCTAACCTGGTCAGTTTCAGACCAACCAGAGTTACACCTATCTCAAAAACCTTATACAAGCCAGATAGGGATGGTGGATGTCTTTAATCCCAGTACTTAGGAGGAAGAGTCAGGCAGATCTCTGTGAGTTTGAAGCCAGTCTGGAACACAAAGTGAGTTCTAGGACAGCCAAAGCAACACAGAGAAACAACCTCAAAAAAAAAAAAAAAAAAAAAAAAAAAAAAAAAAAAAAAAAAAAAAAAAAAAAAAAAAAAAAAAGAAAGAAAGAAAGAAAGAAAGAAAAGAAAAAGAAAAAAAAGAAAGAAAAAAGTTAAAACAAAACCCTTATACAGTCAAAATAATTTCAAAAATGGGTTTAGAACTATATAGCTTGAGGGTAGAGTATGTGCCTAGCATTCATGAGGCCACAAGTTCAATTTCTAGCACCAAAACACAAATGCTTATAACCAAATTTTCAACAAAACTATCAAACCATAAAAAGGATTGTTAAACAAATAAAAGGAACTAACAAAAATGGATATGCAAGCAAAACTATACCACTAACTATGGTGTGTATATGTGTGTGTAACTCTTAAATAACAGTAAAAGAAATACAGTTAAGCTGGGTAGGCTGGCTCATACTGAAAATCTCTGCACTCAGCAGGCCTGGGGAGAAACTGCTGCAAGTTTAAGATCAACCTAGTCCACACAGTGAGTTCTATGCTATTATAGATTACATAATGAGATCACCTCCAACAAACCAAACCCTGAAAATCAAGTCTTAGATTGTTGACACAGAACTCCAAAAAGAACGCTTCCTGACACACCTGACACACCCGACACACCCGACACACCCGACACACCCGACACACCCGACACACCCGACACACCTGACACACCTGACACACCTGACACACCAGCAAAGAATTCTGGAGCTGACATGAAAAGCACGAGCATAAAAAGCAAATATAAAAAATTAGGGCAACATCAAACTGAAGATTTTACAAAGCAGAGCAGAAAACAAATCTGAAATGGCAGGTATACAGACGGAAAAATATCTGCAAATCATATATATTACAGTGGGTCTATGTCTAAAACATAGCAACTCAGGTAACTTCTTCACAGCAAAACATATACATTGATTTTAAACTTGATAACTGAAATTAATATTTTAGCAAAGACATACAAATGGCTTAGATTAGAAAAATGCAAATCAAAACTTATGAAACCATTTCACATTTCAAAATGGCATATAGAAAGAAAAAAGTAAAAAGATAAGCAATAAAAAGACTAGGTACATCATTGGGAATATAAACTGATGGCCATTACAGAATAGTCCAGACATACTGAATTAAAAGTACACCTGTCATTACTGTAACAAACCCACTTTGGGGACTGCATCTGAGGACATAAGGTCACTAACTAAAGAGACAGCTACACTAGCATTCAAGGCAGCAATACTCCCAACAGTCAAGGTATGGAAACTAAGTATCCATAGACATACCAAATGATAATTAAATGTCCTAAAACAATTAACTGACCACAACACAGCTCTACCTTGAGGACACCATGTAAACTTAAACTCATATAAATAGCTAGGTATGATGGCACATGCCTGAAGCAGAAAGGCTGGGAGTTTGGGAGTCAGTTTGAGCGACAAGTAAGACCCTGGAACAAAAAATAAAAAATAAAAACCTAAGAATAGTTAATACAGATACTACTTGTTACTACATGACTTAACAAGTAGAGACTAAAGAAAAGCTAAACTCCAACCAGAGAAAGGGTAGTGGCTACCAGAGACTGGGAACTCAAAGAAAGGGGTTGTCTTGGTCAGACTCAAATCTTCTTCTGTAAATACGTAAACACGATGTGACATTACTTTAAGACAGAGTCAGGTATGATAGCTTGTACCTGCCATCTCGACACTAAGGAGACTGAGCCAGACTACCATGAGCTCGATCAGTCAAGACTACATGATTTTCATACTCGTCTAGGTCAAAAAGTGAAAGTAACTTGAAAAAAGACAAAGGGGAAGAGGGGCGCATGTGACAACAAACGAAATAAGTAGTGACTGTGTTCATTAGTTCACAATGCCACCATGGGACATATACTAGACACCAGGTATAAACAACAGTTTTCAATCACATCAAACAGAAATATTTTAAAAAGGAAAACCTATAATGAAATTTAGAAATTTATAATTGAAGTCATAAAAATACACAAATATAGAAATATTCAAAGTTCATCTAGAAGCACCCAGGAAATCCATGTGTTGCCATCCAAACCTTCAAGACACTGAAGCAAATCCCCTATTTTACACATACGTGGTTTGTGTTCAGTCTAACCACCACATAAAGTCAAAGGTAAAAAGTTATTTCCCAAACTTCAGTAAGATTTTTCTCAACTGTGAGATTACAAGTGAACTAAGAAACTTAAAAACTATGACATTTCTACATGTCTTGCATCAACACACATGGAAACACTAAAGATTTTCATCTCCTATAGTACAAACCTTGACAGAGTTCACCGATCTTGGGATTTTGATCTCTCCCATAGCCTTAAACTCAGAATGAGTTGCTTTTACATCAGTGACAATTGAATGCTTTCATACATTGATTATTATAAGACTTTTATAGACTGAATTCTGATTGCAAAGGATGGATCAAGGGCTTCCAGAACAATTTTGTGAGTACCTTACATTCAAAGGCTTTCCCCCCAGTGGGGATTCTCATGTTCATTAGCATCAGCAGAAGCAGTGAAGGATTCCCTGCATTCCTTATATTCATACGGTTTCTCTCCTGTGTGTTTCCGTAAATGCTTATTAAGGCCTGAGTGCTCTGTAAAGGCTTTTCCACAGTACTGACATACATAGGGTTTCTCTCCAGTGTGAATTCGCATGTGAACTCGAAGGTACGAGGACCATAAAAATGACTTTCCACATATTATACACTGAAAAGGCTTCTCTCCAGTGTGAGTTCGCATGTGAACAGGAAGGTAGGAAGAACATGTAAAAGTTTTCCCACACACTGTACACTGAAAGGGCTTTTCTCCAGTGTGAATTTTCAAATGCACATTAAGATAGGAGGAAGAAGCAAAGGCTTTCCCACAGTGGTCACATTCAAAGGGTTTCTCTCCTTTGTGACTTCTTATGTGTGCGATAAGGCCCGAGGAAGTGCTAAAGGCTTTTCCACATTCTTGGCATGCATAGGACTTCTCCCCAGTGTGATTTCTTAAGTGTATAGTAAGGCCTGAACGAGCAGTGAAGTCTTTCCCGCAGTAAGTGCATTTATAGGGTTTTACTCCAGTGTGAATTCGAAAGTGGGTCTCAAGGGAGGAGGAGTTTCTAAAGGATTTTGTGCACACCTTACACTGAAAAGGTCTCTCAGAACTGTGAGTTTTTATGTGTACAGTAAGTTGAGCAAAACTAATGAAGCCTTTCCCACACTCCTTACATTCATAGGGCCTTTCACCAGTGTGTGTTCTTATGTGTTTAGTAAGGCATGAGCGCTCAGGGAAAGTCTTTCCACACTCCTTACACTCATATGGTTTCTCTCCAGTGTGAGTTCGCATATGGATACGAAGATAAGAAGACCGCGTAAATGTTTTGTCACACTGCTTACACTCAAAGGGTTTCTCTCCAGTGTGAGTTCTTAAATGTCCAACAAGAGATGAGGAATGAGCCAAAGCTTTCCCACACTGATAGCATTCAAAGGGCTTCTCTCCTGTATGAATTCTTATATGTTCAACAAGGCCAGAGGATGTACTGAAGGCTTTCCCGCACTCCTTACACTCGTAGGGCTTCTCCCCATTGTGAATTAGTACGTGCTTAGTAAGGCCTGACCGTGCAGTGAAGTCTTTCCCACAGTAATTACATTTGTATGGTTTTATTCCAGTGTGAATTCGGAAGTGGGTCTTAAGGCATGAGGAATTTCTAAAGGTCCTTGCACATACCTTACAACGAAAGGGCTTTTCACCAGTGTGCGTTTTTATATGTTCAGTCAGCTGAGCAAAGCTGGTGAAGGCTTTCTCACACTCTGTGCACGGATAGGGCCTCTCTCCAGTATGCTTTCGTAAGTGTATCGTAAGCCAAGAACGACCACTGAACGCTTTCCCGCATACTTTACATTCATAGGGCTTTTCTCCGGTGTGAGTTCGTATGTGACCTAGCAGGTAAGAGGAACGTGTAAATGCCTTCCCACATATGTTACACTCAAAGGGCTTCTCTCCAGTTTGAGTTCTCAAATGCGTAGTAAGGTAAGAAGAAGAAGCAAAGGCATTCCCACACTGGTCACACTGATACGGTTTCTCTCCTGTGTGACTTCTCATATGTTCTGTAAGGCGTGAGGGTTGAATGAAGGTTTTCCCACATTCCTTGCACTCATAAGACTTCTCTCGAGTGTGCTGGCGTAGATGCACAATTAAACTTGAGCGCTCAGTGAAGGTTTTCCCACACTCCTTACAGTCGTAGGGCTTCTCCACGGTGTGGCTTTGCATATGGACATTAAGGTAGATAGGGTGTGTAAAGACTTTTTCACATTTCTTACATTCATAGTACTTTTTTTCAGGGGGAATTACAACATGCTCATTATGACTCACAGGAAAAGTAAGAGCTTGTCCACACTGACTCTTTCCACTATGAGAAGAGCTATGTGCCTCAAGTTCTAAGTGGTTAAGGGAAGTTTTCCCACAGTCACTGCATTCAGTGGATTTTCCCAGAGTGCACATTTTCTGTGAAACATCTGGAGTCAAAGTGAAAGATTTTCCACATTGGTCCAACTGAAAAATGTTCTTTTCAGTAGACGTTTCTTTACGTGGTGGCAGCAAGTCTTTTTCACACAAATTACTCTCTGACGTGTTCTCTGTATTTAGCCTGCTAACGTGAGTCTGGGGGCATGCATCTTCACTGAAAACTCTTCCAACTTGCATAGAGTTGCCAAGCACCCCTCCACTGTGCTTTCTCCCCTATTGACAAAGGGTAAAAAAACACGATTAAAGGATTGTTCAGACTTGCAGAGGAATGTGTACTTGTGAGAATTCTGACACACTAAACTAACTTATGCTGAGTATGTTGGTTAACTCCTGCAGTCCCAACACTCTGAAGGCTTAGTCTACCTTGAGTAATAGTGAGCTCGTCTGATAAAAGGGGTAAAGGAAAAAGAAAATGAGAAAGAAAAAAAGAAAGAAAATGAGAGAAAGAGATAAGAGTTCCCTTGCCTGTGATAGCTATTTCTATCAAGTATCTTTAATTTGTATCTATTTTTATTAGTGAATTCCTAATCTACCCTGAACTGAGACAATTAGAAGTATACTTGTTCCCCCAAGGAGTATGGCTCCTGGTAGGTCAACCATGCTCTAGTGTGTGGCCCTACACACACCAAGGAGTGGTTTGGTTAGTACAAATTCAAATTGGTAGATTACTTATGCTTAAAAAAAAAAGGTTATAGAGTTGGCGTAGAGAAGTGGAGGTTACCAGGTCTTAGGGGATTTAGAAGTGGGAGGAGAATATTATCAAAATACATTTTATGAGATATTTTCAAATAACAATGTTTTTTTAGAAAGAGAGAGAGAGAGAGAGAGAGAGAGAGAGAGAGAGAGAGAGAGAAAAACACAAAGTGAGCACGAACACACAGTGTCTCTCAAGGGCTGAGACACACGTGGGGTCTGCAAGGGGCCCGGCTGCGACCAAAGAGGGGAAGGGA